AAATGACATCCTCTTGAGATCAGAACCCTTCTAACAATCACATTTAGTGTTTGTACCATTCAGCACCACAGGGAAGATTAAATTTTTTCCACTTTGCCTGTTTCTCCCTCCTTCCTCTGATTCTCTCCCTTACATCATAAATATTTCTTTTCAACCCCTAAATTTAATTTTTCCTTTGAGAGACATTTGAAAAGCAATCTTTATTGCTATTTATTTTATTTAGTTTGAGTCTCATTTTAGAGCTGTTGATGTGGTGATATGCTCTTTTCTTTTCTATCTTCCTTTTCTCTGGATGAGGAAAAACTTTCTAGAACTTTCTTCAAGAGAGATGGATTTAATTGGTTAATTTCATAATATCGAGTCTTTGTTGGTCTAGATTCCAAAAGAAGGAGTTCCTTTAAGCTTGCTGCAACTATATTTGCTTTTAAAGGAGCCCTTTATGTTGCAGTGAATAAAGTGTCTCTTATTAAATAGAAAATAAATGAATGTTTGGCAGGACTCTGCTCCCAATGGGTGAAACATTGCAGGAAATTGAGAAATTGTTTCTTTTTGCCCTCATGGGAAAGTTTTGTGGTTGACATTTAGTATCACGGTTTTAAGACTACTGCTTAAATTCATCAAGAAAAAGTTGTTGAACAAGGGGCAGCTTTTGGAGGGGAGAGGGGTATCAGTGTGATAGTGCTCTGACTGGCCTGTTCAATTTTCCAAGAACTTTGGCATATGGTCAAGGATGTTACATTCTTTCTTACATAATAATTGTGTTAATGTTAAAAAGGACTTAGAAATATTTTAGCTACTTAGGAACAAGCTTGTTAAAAGTTAGCCTCAGTTGTACTCTTTAATTTGTACCTGCCAAAAAGAGTGTTTTGCATGCCCAAAGAAGAAATGTGTCTCAGTTGCTGCCTCTAGCCTCTGTTCTCCACTGGACTTTGGGTTCTGGTTAAACTTGATCAGATCCACTGGCCACCTGATGCAAAGAGCTGACTCATTTGAAAAGACCCTGATGAGGCAGGAGGAGAAGGGGACAACAGAGGATGAGATGTTTGGATGGCATCACTGGCTCAGTGGACTTGGGTTTGGGCTTCCCTGGTGGCTCAGATGGTGAAGCGTCTGCCTGCAATGTGGGGGACTCGGGTTTGATCCCTGGGTCGGGAAGATGCCCTGGAGAAGGAAATGGCAACCCACTCCAGTATTCTTGCTTGGAAAATTCCATGGATGGAGGAGGCTGGGGGGCTAGCCAGTTCATGGGGTCACAAAGAGTTGGACACGACTGAGCGACTTCACTTTCTTCACTTTCACTTTGAGCAAACTCCAGGAGATAGTCAAGGATAGGGAAGCCTGACGTGCTGCAGTTCGTGGGGTTGCAAAAAGTCAGACATGACTTGGCAACTCAGCAACAACAGCTTTGAGCTCGAGACCTGAGACTCAAACCCTCGACGTCTCCCTCTTAGGTTTTCTCCATGTGCTGCTGCTGTGGGTGCTCAGTTCTATCAGACTCCTTATGACCCCATGGACTGTAGCCCACCAGGCCCCTCTGTCCATGGGATTTTCCAGGCAAGAATACTGCAGTGGGTTGCCATTTCCTACTTCAGGGGAATCTTCCACAGAGTCACCTTATTTGGGATTTGTGCCTATGTCCACACTGTGAGTTGAACCCCTAGGCCTATTTCTCTGTCAGTTTCCTTAGAGACACTGGGCAGCATCACCATGTGTCTTGTTGTTTAAACTCAAGAATATCCTTGTTCGTTTCTGATACTCTCCTCTACTTACAATCAATGTCCAAGTCCTCTTGATTCCCCTGAATAGACCAGACAGCGGTCCCCATCTTGTCCCTGTCTCATTTCTCTACTACCAGGCTCAGGTCATGATTTTTTCAGGCCCTGATTTCTCTGAAAGCCTCCTCAACCATTCTCTTGCCCTCAGTCTTTCTCTAGTATCATCCTGTTTCTATCCTTCAATCACTTTCTAAAATTAATTTTGATCTTGTTTCTTCCTCGCCTAAGGTTGGTTGATTGGTTTCTAGGGTCTACCTGCAATTTTACCATAGATTCCAAACTCTTGGCTTAGCCCTTGTTTATGGTCTCAGCTTTTTTTTTTTCTGTTTCCAGCTGCATCAGCCCCTTGACAAATATGATGCTTCCGACTCTGATCATAACTGAACAATTTACAGTGAAAATATCCCCCTCTGCCTTTTCCCATTCTTGTTGAATTTTAGTCTCTTGTCAAGAAGTCAGAGAACTCTTCCCCCATAACTGACCCCCTACCCTGCCTCCCAGATTCAGCTAAATAGCCCTCCTTTGAGTTCCCATATACCCCTGATGTTGTTCTAGGAGAGCTGATCCTTGATTTTAGTCTCCTTGAGGGAATAACATGCAGTTCTTTTTTCTTGACTCTTCAAATATGCCAGCTGAAGGAAAAAAATGAGGAATGAATGACTGATTCAAGTGTTTTTCCATGTATAAAATTGGATCCTGATTATGACATTGTAGTAGTAGTAGTGTTAGACATTCAGTCATGTCCGACTCTTTGAGATCCCATGGACTGTAAAGATCACCAGGCTCCTCTGTCCATGAGATTTTCCAGGCAAGAATACTGGAGTGAGTTGCCATTCTCTTCACTTTGGCTAATTTTGGTTATTTGGAGGATTGGAAAAGCAATTATGAAAGAAAAAGATTCTGGATTTGGCATCAGGAAGATGAGTCCCTGCTCAGTTGCTAACAACTGTGACTCTTGCTAAGCCTATCAGCCGGTCGTTCTGAGTCTCAGTCTCTTGTGAAGGAGCAGGGGTTTATTATAAGGTCTGGCTGAGAACAAGGGAAGGCGTCTGCGGTGGGAGACGAAGCTGGTGAATTATAATGACTGCACAAGTGGTATCTGCCTTACTCTCATTCTTTTCAGACCTGTAGTTCTCCCTACTGCACCTATGCCAAACACCAGCCTAGGACAGGGGTGTGTGTGTGTGTGTGTGTGTATGTGTGTGTGTGGTGGGGGCGGGTGAATGGTTTCATGTGGCAAAGATGGGAGGCATGTGTTTGTTCAATTAGTCAGAGACCTACCAATGGCAGGATGGATATCAGAAGTGGTTCACCCTTAACTTTCCTTTTGGAAATACACAGTCCACCTTCTTATACACTGTTGGTGAAAGTAAGACCTCATGTAGCGAGAAAGCAATTAGATAATGTGCATTGAGAACCTTAACAGTATTTCCCCGTTTTGACCCAGTAATTCTATTTCTGGAATTTATCTTGAGGGAATGATCTCTAAAAATGGAGATGAGAGCACCTAAGACATACAAGGATATTCCTGGAAGTTGTGGTTATGATAGTGGATAATGGACAATAATCTGAAGTGGGTAATCTGTGAGGGGCACTGTGGCCTTGCCCTTCAGTGGGTACTCGGTTAGATAGAAAGATGATTTTGAGAAAATACTCAAGTGAAAAAAGAGTCCAAATATTTAATCCATGATGATAATTAGAACTAAGTAAATCAAAAGAATATAGAAAAACAAAAGTGACCATTAGGAAAATTCATTCTGTTTTGAAAGAGGTTAGTTGTAACTAAGAAATCCATAGGCCTTGCTACCCAAGGACCCAGTAAATGAGGTCACTGTCTTCATGCAAACGAATCTTTCTTTAGCATTGGTTAGAGGCCAGGCCTTCCCTCTGCCTTTTAAAATCTGGCAAAAAAGATTCAGAGAAATACCAATCAGAAGTAAAAACTGGCTTACAGCTGAAGTTGTAGAATACCAATGAAGGAAAGGCTTAAAAGGTACTTTAAAAAGATAGCAATCGTGACAACTTTGTAAGGCATTTTTGAGTGTGCAAAGAGTTTTTATATACATTTTCCATTTCCATGGGCTCTTTTCTTATGTAGCCTTTTATCCTGCTGCTGCTGCTGCTGCTAAGTCGCTTCAGTCGTGTCCGACTCTTAGTGACCTCATGGACCGCAGCCTACCAGGCTCCTCCATCCATGGGATTTTCCAGGCAAGAGTACTGGAGTGAGGTGCCATTGCCTTCTCCAGCCTTTTATCCTAGCTGCCTGTAAAAATCACTGCAGACCTAAGGAGCTGAGAAATACAGTTACTACTTATTTGGGCTCCATTCTCTTTATCAGGCATACCTGGGGCTCTATTACCTTGCGCAAATTTGGAACAGGGAGGCCTGGCATGCTACAGTACATGGGATCTCAGAGTCAGACACAACTTAGTGACTGAACAACAACAAACCCTTTATTGGCCTCTTATCCAGAGATTTCCCTGCTGTGCTGAATTTACTTTGAACCCAGGGGAAATTACCTAGAAAGGAACAGTAGGGCCCAGGAAGCAAACAGGAATTTCACTGGGTTTTTCACTGAGGACCTCCAAACATTTGGCAGACCTTTCCCCTCACATGCCTCTGGAGCCTTGTGCTACAAAGAGGTGTGAAGCTGTTGGGAGTTGCCCACCATTTCACAGCAAGTCGGTTGTGGAATCCATCTAGAATTGTGATCCTCTTTCTTCCTCTTGAATCCCCATCCAGCCTGAGTGTCAGTCCTCCCATGGGATTTCATGTTCCTTTTTTGTACTGCTTGTCTTTGCTCCAGAAAAGATTTGTTTTCTTTGATTATTTCCCCACATGTCCATGGTTGTGAACCAGGGTGCGTTTGTCAAATGCACTGTGTTGTTTTCACCCCTGCTTCCCTGTTTGATGATTTGATACTTAGGGGAGAGAGAGACAGTGAAGAGGAAAATCTGCTCAGTGCCTTGAACCCTGGGTTTTGGCCATTTTTCGTGAAGACAGGCTCTTGCCGCCTCTTATCTGATCCCAACCTTCCTGCTCTCAGGACGAGAAATAAATCTTTTCACAAAAACCCAAGGGTTTGTTTCCAGGTGTTTGAAGGGAAGCTTTAGTCCCCAGTGGAGCTTTTTGGGGGAGTTTGTTATTTCACTAAGGATAGGGCTGAATGCCTCTGGTTTACGCTTCTCTTTCGAAGTTTATTTTATGTTTTGTTGTGGTTTTCAGATTTCTCATGGTTTGGATTTGGGAAAGTAAAATCAAGACAAGGTGTTGGTAAGTAGTTCCTACTTCTTTGGATAAGTAATGAGTTTGTGTTGTTTAATTAGGATGAAACTGCTTTGACTCTCTTTATTAATACTTGTTGGCCCTTGATTCTTTTTCTGTGATCCCAAATTTTGTTTTGCTGAAGCAAGAGGGCTAGACCTTTCCAGAAAAGGAAAATTGACTTCAGTAGATGGTTTTGTATTTTTGACAGCAACTTGTTTTATCCTATGAGGAATTGTGAACTGTGGTCCAGATCTAGCTTGTGGCTGCATTTTAAAGGTTAAGGGAATAAAATGTGACTATACTCCACGTATAGCAAACAGTTGGCTGAATATTCAAGTCTGGGCAAGCTTGGATCTTAACTTTCTTCCATTGGCCAACATGTAATAAATTTCTGAATTGGGAAATCAGCTGTTCATTTATGACCACTTCTCTTTCAAAGCAAGACTCTAACGTCCAGATGCTATGATTTGTGCTTGATTGCATTCTACTCCTTGCATTCAGACTATGTGCAGGCAATTGAAAAGCAGAGTTTGTAGCTACCAAATGAGTGCAGATAATGTGTCTCATCACTAGGATTGGAATCAGGTGTGATCTCCCAGGGCCTCTCATTTGTTCAGTATTTTCTATGGGTACAGAGACAATGAACAGGAATTGTTTAGAAGGCATGAAAAAACACTGTCTTTACATCTTGCCTGTGCATTTCCAAGATCTGGCCCCATCTTGACTATCTGTTGGTTGGCATTTATTTTGGTAGCAAAGTTGGTTATAGGTAAAATTGTAAAATAGGGGAAGCATACCAGGGTCAGTGTTCTAGTTCTAAACCATCCGCCTATTGCGTGTTCATCCCATTCATACAAAGAAACCAGTTTCCTTTCCCTTGTCGAGCCTGAAAGCAGACCTTTCCTAAAGGATAGTCTTTCTCACTGTCTGTCCAGTGATCCAAAATATCGCACTCGCTGGGCCCAGAGGTGGCAGACACTGAGCCAGAGGGGGCCTGATGTTGGATGTCATCCTGACCCTTAACTTGCCCCAGGAATTCCAATACTAAAGCTCTTAACCAGCAAAGAGAAGGTGGAATGTAGCAAAGTTGGAACATTAAGTACAACCAGCTCAGGACTTGTCTGCAATGACCTGGGGCAAATTTCAGATCCAGCTGATCATAGGTGATTTGCCAAGATATTGCCAAGATAGCGGAGAGAAGGCTGTCTGCCTGTGCAATCTTGAAGGTGCCCTTTCCAAGGCTTTGCACTCACTCTGTGTGTGGTTGTGGTGAAGAGGGGAATTGAGTGATAAACTCTCCCACAACAATGCTGTGAGATGAGGTCTTCCCTCCACTAAACAGCAAATCACTGCAACTGTGTGAATGTTTTCCAGGCCAGTTTGTTCTGCAGAGAGGTGCTTATTCCCTGTAAGCTTCAAAAACCGGGCTTCATCCTTTTAGGCTACAGCTGAGGGAATCCTTCAGAATTGTTCTTTCAGCTACAGTTCGTCAGAGGTTCTGTGCTTTGTAGGTTTTGTTATCATTCAGGTGTGTTGAGGCCACAGTCAGGAGATGATTGCCACTGAAAATGTAGTTTGTTACTCATAGATCCCAAGAGAAGAGGGCAGACCACGCCATGGTGGAGACCATGATGCTGAAGGGAGCACGGGGCCCAGGGAGCACGGGGCCCATCAGGAAGCAGAGGGGGTGGGGGTAAAACATAGACAAGAGCCTCTACTGTGGTTTCTGCAGAAAGGAATGGGTGAGGCAGGGTAAGCAGGATAGGATTGGCTGGGTTGAATAAGGGCAATGGGCTCTGGGGTATAGGGACCGTCCCTAGTTGTCTGATACATGGCTCTGGGGTGATGGGGCAGGTGGATAGTGGCCTGGAGTGTGACAGCCTGATAAGGAATGTGGTTTGGGGGCATAGACTGTGGATAGGTCGGCTATCCACATGTATGTTGTATATGAAACATAGTTTTGTAGGCAAGCACTTTATTATCTCTAGGAATTGGCAGTCCCTCCTCCATCACCAAGGCCCCAGATGTTGAAGCAGCAGAATGCAGAAAACAAAAGGCATGTTTGATATGGCTATCTGATTAACAATAATCTGTTTCTCTTCTCTAAATCATGTTGGCCTTGAGAAAAGGAAACTCCTTCTCCAGATGACCTACATCGATTCTTACCAGGGCAAAAAGGTCTCAGCCAGTCTTAACAATGTCTGTAAAGTCATATATGCCAGATATATTACTGAGCAGCTCTGGGAAAAGAAAAATGCCTCCTTGTACGTGAGACACAGTAAAATCAAAATCGGCTAAAAATGTTTCCAGGCATAGCTCCTATTTGTCAGCTCAGTAATTAGAATTATCTACCCCAAACTCAGCAAGCTGCACATACCCAGCAATTTAAAGCTTCTTATTAATATTATAAGACATCTTTTCAAGTCCTCCTATGAATTCCTCACATGCTGTGATGTGCCCCCGATTCTTCTTCTGTCTGTCTTTTCTCAGGGTTTCTTCCACGTGCGCAGACACACAATGAGACATCCATGATATGCACAGACAGGCTGCTGTCAAATTATATAGACATTCATCGTCTCCCCCAAGAGCTTTCCCCTTCCCGACTTTGCTGTGCTCCATTAGATCAAAATGTTCATAGAAAAATGGCTGAAACTCTGCAACCTTGCCAGCCGTATCAATCTTCCAGGATTTGGAACATCAATAATGAAACAAACAGCACTTGAATTAACATGCCACTTGATAAATTGTTGAGGTTTATATGTTGCTCAGATTTGTCAACAGTGACCTCTTGGCAAAGTGAAAAGGCTTTTGAAAAATTACCTCTGGTGCGTTATACTGTTTCTGTGCTCAAAAAATTTCCCTCCAAACAGAGCCCGTTCCCTTGGGATCTGTTACCTCGGAGCTGGGGGTTTTACTTAGCAAGGCAGGGGAAGGAAAGGGTGTTCTTTGGTGATGGGCGAGAAGCAGAGAGCAAGTCCCTTGGTTGAACTCTTTAAGTAAGGCTCTTCTATGTACATGGCAGATGCTTCAGAGCCTGAATTCCTGGAGGAATTTCAACATTGTCTTCTAAGTATCAACCTCCTCCAAAATGATTGAATGCTATGGGAATGTGGATAGCCTGCCCTGGGCCAAAAGAAAATCAGAGACAAAGCAACTGGGATCAGTGCGTTTCTAATTGTTGCAGGGAATTCAGAAGCAAATATTGCTGGCCTTCTGACAGCATGTGGAGTGTCTGAACATGACAGCTCTTGAATTTCTGGGGGTAAACGTGCAGCCTGGAATCTGCTGAGAAATGCCTTCCCCGTACTCTTCCCGGGGAGCTCGGGCAGTAGCATGCTTTGCTAACCTCGAAGGAGGGGACAGCTGAGCCAGGACTGGAGCAAGGAAGCCCATAGTGGGGAAGGTCTTGTTGACAAGATGCAGAAACCTTAGCATAGCGCATTTCCATTTTCCACCTCTGGGTTTAAGTTCTAGGTGATAGGAGCCTGTCAGAAAGCAAATCATAAAACAGGGATGGTTAAGGATATTAGAAAGAACTTGTCTGTATAGCTATTCTTGGCAGAATTTCCACTGTTTACAAACATCAGTGAGCGAGGCTCAAGATGAGCACAATCAGTGAGCTTCCCTTGGCTTTGAGTGTTTGGTGGCTTCTAAATTGGCTGTGTGAGAACTTGCTTGCAGAAGTAAGCCAGAGTGTATCATTAAAGGCAACTTAAATACACATCCCCATGAGAGAATGCTTTTAAAAATTACCTGTAATAGCAGTTGGCTGCCTCCTACATAGTTTAAGACAGCTAGCTGGGGAATGTCCAATTGTTATCCCTCCAAACAGTGATAATCCCCATATAAGAGAAAAAATGGATTTTGGGGGTTGGGGATGGATTGCTGTGATATTTCAGAGGGTATTCAAAAATGTATGATATAACAGCTTTTGTTTCTAGAATTGCTGTGCTTCTTACATAAAATGTTAAATGTGAAGGAGAAGGTAGAGATTGCATGGAGGTGCTGAGACATCCTGGGGGTTGGATGGACACACATGGCCTTGCTCAGGAAATAGGCATTCAGGCTTTCATTTCCCTACCACACATTTGTCTTGGCTGCACGTTGGATTTCGTTTTCTCTTTGTCTTTCCTCCATGTCCTTTTCTTCCTATATTTCTCTTAGCTTATTATAGTAGCCCTGTCCACTGGGAGCCTTTTTTGGGACCTTGTACCTATTCAATATACTACAGAAACATGTACTATATGTCTAGGGGACTTTGTCTACTTTTCCTGTAGGGTGTGTCTATTAAGAACCCATGAGATCTTAACTGTTATGAAGTTTTTAATGAATGTAGACCTTTATCTTTGGAAATGTGTTTTGGTTGCAGACATTATGGGTTTAGTGGTCAATGGATGAATTGTTTACATAAGACACAGTAGACCGTATTTATAGGCATATACATTCTGAGATTTTGGACTGTAAAGTTCAAATCTGGTATGAAAAAGTATTATGGTTATCATTTTAATATAAAGATATCCAAGTAATTGCTTTACAAATAATATTATAGCTAAAGGCAAAGCACAGAACTTTGCTATTGGATTGATCCATTATTGCTGTGGAAGTATCTTGTAGGCAAAAATGGTGTAATCTTTGAGAAAGTGAACATAGTAATAGGACAGTCCAGTGCAATTTTAGTTGACCAGTTATAAGTTTGTTTTAGTAATTTATACATATGAAGCAAATTTTCATCAGAAGTTTCATTCAAAGCCTGTTAAAGTAACAAAAAGATATCATTTTGCACATTTTACACATGTAAGTGGATGTAGAGTTACAGAAAGGTAAGTGCCTTGTCCAAAGAGTGGAGAAAGGATCCGATCTTTGAACTCATAGGTCATCTTTCAGTACACTGTACAACAGGAATCCTAGATTCATGCTGGGAGTTTCAATGAGTGTTCTAAAGATTTTCAGAGAACAGAGAGGAAAGCTTCATATCAAATTACAGGAAAAGGAAGTAAAGAAATTGAAACCCTGATACATTGCTGGTGGGGCTATAAAATATGGAAAATAGTTTTTCAGTTCCTCAAAACGTTAACCATGAAGCTACTGTGTGTGCATGCTTAGTCTCTCAATAATGTCCAACTCTTTGCAACCCCATGGACTGCAGCCTGCCAGGCTGTTCTGTCCATGGGATTCTCTAGCAAGAATACTGAAGTGGGTTGCCATGACCCAGCGATTCCACCCAAGAGAAATGAAAACATGTCCACACAAAAACTTGTACATGAATGCTCATAGCCACATTATTCACAATAGCCAAAAATTTAAATAACCCAAATATCAATCAGTTGAGTTGATCAACACAAATGTGACATATCCATACAATAGAATTTTATTTGTCTATAAAAAGGTATAAAGTAATGATGCTATAATGTGAATCAACTTTTAAAATGTTACACTAAATGAAGGAAGCTGGTCCCAAAACATCACATATTATATGATCTCGTTTATATGAAGTATTCACAATAGGTAAATCTGTATAGATACAAAGTAAATTCATTATTGACTAGGGCTGGAAGTGGGGAGAATGGGGAGTGACTGCTAACTGAAATGATAAAAATGTCCTCAAATTAGATTATACTGATGGATTTACAACTCTTTGAATATGTTAAAGCCTATTGGATTGTATACTTTAAAAGTGTGAATTTTATATATATGAATTATAGCTCAACAAAACCATGAAGAATAATAAGAGAATATGTGTTTTTCCAACTTCAGGCCCAGCTTCAGTTATCAGCAATGATGATGACTCTGCCAGCCCCCTCCATCACATCTCCAATGGGAGTAACACCCCGTCGTCTTCAGAGGGCGGCCCTGATGCTGTCATTATTGGAATGACCAAGATTCCTGTCATTGAAAATCCCCAGTACTTTGGCATTACCAACAGTCAGCTCAAGCCAGACACATGTAAGTACAGCTGTTTATACTTACTGGCCCATTTGCTTCATAGCTGTATCTCGCAGCATGTTTATCAGAGTCCCTGACAAGGATGATTGAGGGGAGGGTGAAGTGAAATGTCTTAAGGATTCTTGAGGCTTTGAGCCCATGGAATAGATCATTTAGTTTGTTGATTATGGCATTCATAGGGTGTGTCTCCTGCTGGGATTGGAACTGCGGGCAGAACTGACTTCTCTTGGGATCCATTTTCCAAAACCATTTGTCAACATGAACTTGGAATTAAGGCATGCTTATCTTGAAAAAGATAGAGACAGAAACCAGAAGTGTCATTAGAATCCACATACATCAGTTACAGAAGATAAGCAATTGGTGGGATTCAAATTTGGTTTATTGAAAGTCTTTAAAATAATACACCAATGGTTGTCAGGAATGGTCTGTGTTGCACACAGGTGGTATCAATTTAAGTAGTTCTGTTTTTGTTTTTTTGTTCAGTCTTAGTTCTTACCATGAGACTTACTGTGATATCACAATAACAAAGGGACTTCCCAACAGGTATGCCTACAATTGAATTATGTTTCTCAGAACCAGATGAATACATTAGCCTCTGTTGGAGAGCTTAAATCTTTGTTGGAGACTCTTACCCTATTTTCTGAGCCACTGCTCAGATATAAAGAACAGAACAAAGCCTGAAGGACAACAAGAAATAAAACCACAGTGAACAAACAGGCTTATGTCATTGGAACTATAGGCCTTCCCTTAAACATGAATAAGGGACTCTGAGGGTCAGACTATCAGGTGGCTAAGGTCTCCTGGGTTCCAGGGGCACTGACAAGTGGGTATCTTTTTGTCTGTTTGCATGTTCTTACCCCATCTTAAATACTCTTCTCCTGCTCTTACCTGTCTCAGGTAAGGTAGGACTATTTCAAGGTTAGATTTTGGGGACTGACTTTCCACTGAGAACTCTCATGGATAAGGGGATTTAGCAGTGAGTATTTTTTAAATATAAACAAACATCTGTAATTTCCTCCTATTCATTCAAATTTATCCTGAGGTATGTTTAATAATGGATTTGAATTTGAATTTAACCACTAGGAAGAACAGTATTACAATCTTGTAATATGTGAGACCCCACCACAGATTTCAGTTGAATTTGTAATATGACAAGATAAATAGAATAGCATATAAGAAGAATACTGAGCTCCTTGGAATAAAAGGTATTATTTGAAATCAAGATATTATTAATTCTAATATTATAATTATGGTGTAAACCAGATGTGTGGAGGTCTTGCTTACAATGTGCATTCTTTGTTGAGATAAGCATCCCCTAACAGTTCTTGAAATGTCCTGCATGCATAACAGTGAGATGAAAAAGCAATGCAACATACTGTAATGAGAGAATCTGTCATTATTTTGATTGTCATCACTAGGAACAGAGTATTTTGACCCCCCTGTCACCACTACCAGTACCAGACTGTATGATATACTTCAGTTAACCAGAGGCTATGCTATAGCTGAGGTTGACTAAAATTAGACTGTACTCAAAAATTTGCTTTTGTCAATGGAGAAAAGTTAAAGCTAAATAATTAAGCTGGTAGCCTTAGTCCAACAAGCCTAATAAGAGAAAATGAATCAATGATCAAGGAAAAAAACAAACACATGCTATAGAATCAAATAGGCTAGATGGCTTCTGAGTCTGTGGTTTTTTCTAAATGTGCTTTCTTTCCCTTGAAATCCCACAAGAAAATTTCTAAAGGTTATTTCCTTAGTCTAGCATCCATGAAGGTTTTTACAGAGGTTTTTGATTAGACATTTTGGTAATTTTAAGGAGTTTTGGTTTTATGGCTCAACCACTTTATGCCACTCCCATTTGGAAGGAACTGGAAGACAGCTGAGGAGACTGGCAGCTTCCCTTCAGCTTCTGTCCTCTACCAGAGGTGTCCAGACTGTTGGTTTTTCCTCATAAACTCTAGTGCTTCACTCAGCCATCCTGACTGGTTCAGTGTTCTCGATCACTTAGCATCTTATACTAGCAGAAATTTTCTTTCTTTCAAGCATCAAGCCATATGCTCTTTCATGATGTTAAGAACACTTAAAATAACACATCTTCCACAAATCCTTTTTCAAAGAAATGGGAATGAAGAAGCAATTTACTTCTCTTCTCTCTTTACCTTTTCTTAAATGTCATTCTTTACCCCATATTTTTTTTCCCTTATCCTCAATGTGTCTGTCACCTTTTGTGAAGCCCTGGGTGTTACCACTCTGGTATATGTTTCTGTAGTCTTGATTAAAATCAGGTTAGATTGTAAGCTCCTAGAGAGCAGAAACTATACCCATTGAACTACTTCATTATAGCATGGGACACTATTTGCCTCTGATGTGGGCCAGATGTTGACCAGATATGGCTATTTATTACTGAAATATTAATTACTAACAGACTTGTAACAAGTATAAATGAACTTTTACATTGATACTTTTTCATTGGGTCTATTCTTATTAAACTTACCTACATAGATTTTTTAATGTAGGATGAATTTTTTACGTATTAACCAGTTTAAGTAGATTTAGATAGAATTTTAGCAGAAAAAAGCCTTTAACAAAGAATCTTTTCTTTGAAGGTCCTAATTGTAATCATTCAAAAATTAAAATATTCAAAATGCATAGATTTGACATACAGAAGGAGAGGGGTTTTGTCACTATAGGCCCATGAAATTTTGGTAGCTTAGCTTTCAGTTAACTTATTCCCTTCAAATATTTTCACAGCTAACCTTTAAAGAAGGGCTTTTCCAAGGAGTTGGATAGGTTACATCTGAAAAACAAATTTAAGAAGCTCTCAGAAAAAGTGTGGAACTTTCCTCATATGCTTAAAGCAACATATCACATGAAACATACAGTCTCTGATGGACCCATCAGAGGCTTGGGTCACAAACCAGCACATTTACTTCTCTTTCCTAAAGCTTTCTGCTATTCAAAGATTTTGGCTTTCGAATACATGTCTGATCTTACAAACAGTGATCCCATTGTATTTCACTGAATTGTAAGAATCTAATGTAGAAAGTGAAGTTCAATTCATCACACATTTATTGACTACCCACAATATTCCTACAATATTAAGAATTGGAAATTGGGTGATAATGATGGCTTGTTCCTTGCCCACATGCAGTCTCCTTGGGTAGGCCAGTGTTGAAAGACGTTGTGTAATTACAAAGCATAAGGTTTGGATAGCTTAGAGCAAGCATCCTAAACCCCAGTGACTTATAGGGTCAATATGAGAAACGGGCTGGATCAGAAAGACGACATGGTGTGGTGAAGATCATGATGGAACATGGGCCTGGTATTACCAGATATTCCAAATTTTCCAGAGAGCAGGCATTTTTTTTTTATGTGATTTCTCCAAGATTTAAAACAATGAGTGGGACCAACAAAATACATTAGCACAAATTATATTTGGTCCACAATACACCAACTGTTTATGGCTTTAAAGATCAATGAATAAAAACAGTTGATTTTACAGATTTTACAAGCTCAGAAGTAGCTTGTCCAAAGTGGCACAGCCTCCATGCTTGTGTAACTTTGTTCTAAAACCAAAACAAGTGAACCAAAAATCACGATTAAACTATGTTTCTTTAAATGTTGTGTAAGATTATTTGAGTGAAGGATGATGCTAAATTATATCCCCCAAAGTACTTTTTCACTCTCAGGAGCTATGAGAGGTTTTCAAAATCTAGAGGTGGTTTGCAGGATTTTAGAACAATCTGAACAAGGCTGAATTGCTCCCGAGCACTTTCCAATAGCAAGTCTGTCTACTTTATTGCAGGGCCCAGAGGTTCCCCCAAGACCGCCTGATAATAATTTGGTATTTGGAGGCTCCTGTGTCACTGCAGGAACTAAAGGAGGCTAAATCCATGCCTGATGGAGGAGAAGAGTTCTATGGTTATCTGCAAATTCTGGCCAGACAACATCTTGACGTCACTCCTTAGCTTCCAAAACCTAGCCAAGCAAGAAGTTGCCTTCCCGAGAGAAAGCAGTGTGCTCTAATGACTAAGCCCTGAGTGCTATGCCACTTTAACTATAGACCCATCTCCTCGATCAATCAGGATGGCAAGATGGAGCTGAGGAGCTCAGCGACATCAAGGCTGCAGTTGGTCTTTAATTCAACTAGTCTGTGTAGACGTGTCTGAAAACCATGTCATCTGACCACACGGGGTTGTTTCCTAGTAGGATTGACCAACTTGGCTCAAGGGCAGCTGTGCTACTGTCCTCTCCTTGTCTGCTAAGAACATTTTTGACAGGGTACAATGGAAACACACCTTCTGAACTGGAAAAAAAAACAAAGAAAACACACTCTAACCAACAAAACCCCTGAATCATCAATCTTGGGTTCTTCTGAAGGGTGGGAATGCGTTATAGCTTCCCCTGCAGGAAAAGCAAATGCCATTTAGACTTGTTGACATCTCTAGAATTGTGTCTTTCCTAGAGCAGCCTTATAAATTAGCTAGAATCCTAGGTGGAGGGTCTTCATTAAATGAGAATTGTCTCTAAATATGTACTGTATGTGTTTGTTCTTACAGCGCATGCCCTCTATGTGTATCTAGGGCTAGTAATTAACTCTCTGTGGAAGATGCAGATAAGGAATCCTGAATTTTCCCCATTTTGATTTCATTTCCAATGAAATGGACATTGATTGATTTCCTGCAGAGTGTGCCATGCTCCTCTAAGCATTCGAGTTTGCCTGTGTGTATATGTTTGTGTGTGTGTGTGTTTTCCCATTGGTTACATGCTTATTATACAACCATGTAGATAAGCACAGATTCATAGACCAGCAAAGACTAAGGAAATAAAACATAATAAAGGGAGGGAGTGTTTTAACAGTAGCTGAAAAGATCATGCAGGGCACCCCTCTTGCTTCTCTTAGCTGCCATACCTACACTGTCATTGTGTTACCAGCCAGGGGAGGTAATGGAAGTGGTATTTTTCATAGAACTGCAGAGGTTTTGAACATATTTGTAACA